AATTACTATGCACTCCGCCTCATTTGGCAAAGAACTATTCATGCTATACATTGTCCCATTCAATCTTATATCCTCACTGCCACTAGTCCCTTTAACCCCAGGGACTTCATCAACTTCTGATGAGGACATGTTGAGTAAGTTGGGCCTGTAGTCTTTGGAAAAATGAGAGGTGATCTTATTGAAATATGCAATACTCTAAGGGGACTTGACAGAGTCAATGCGGAGAGATTGTTTCCCCTTGTGGGAGAGTCTTGGACCAAAAGATATAACCTCAGAATTCGAGGTCACACATTTAAGTCAAAGATGAGGGGGAATTTCTTCTCTCAGAGGATAAGGAGGACTTTACCACAGAAAGCAATTGAGGCTGGATCATTAAAGATATTCAAGGCTGAGATAGACAGATTTTTAATCCGAGGGATCAAGGATTATGGGGAAAAGGAAGGAAAGGGGAGTTGAGGATTATCAGATCAGCCATGATTCCACTGAATAGCAGAGCAGATTCAATGGGCTGAATGGCCTATTTCTGCTCCATTGCTTATGATCTTATGGCTAAAGGGGGATCAATGTAAGTGGCTCTGAGGGGCTGGAAGTGATGTTCAACTTTATCAAATATTCCTGGAGAAATAGCCTGGGGGCTGCATTCAAGACGGAAAGCAGCAGTCAGAACATGGAAGATTACAAAGGCTTCACTGACAAAGAAATGGTTGAAAGCTAGAAGCGAGTTGTGGATGACGATTGTCTTATCCTATATTCATCAGTGGCATAAGCAAGGCGTACATGTGAACAGTTGGGGTCCAGACCCAAAACGTCAGCTTTCCTGCTCCTCTGATGCTGCTTGGCCTGCTGTGTTCATCCAGCTCTACACCTTGTTATATAAAAATGATTGATTTCTTTTAATGATGTTATTGGCTGCCTTTGGATTAAATAGTCCAACTGTATGCATATACACGCACACCCATGCACTCACACACACACACATACACACACGCACACATACACACACGCAGACACATCTCATTTCCCCTTCCTAATGTTCAATCCCATTGTTGTGGAAGTCCATGTCTAATAAGTTGAAGGGTAATGTAGATAGCAGCAAACGGTTTCAATCCATCAACATTTAGGTTAAAGGAGCTGTCTCACTCTGGTTACTGAATGCAAAATGATAACTCTGTTTTTCTCTCAGCAGTTGCTGCCACATCTGCTGTGCTTCCCCAGATCTCTGCGTTTTTGTTTCAGATTTCCAGCATCCACCAGTTCTGTGCGTGTTTTTTTCATAAGTGTAAATTCCCTCCTTTATTTAGGTCCCTCTGCTGTTGTCTCTGCATCGCTGCACTCAAGTGTTTATCTACTGTCCTATTCTGATGTCTCTCTGACACTGAATGCACCCACACCTTTATCTCCCTCAGTTTTGAAGAGAGAGCAAATACTTGAGGAAGAGTGGTTGTAACATCAGGAAGAGAGGTCGGGTTGGCAGCTGGGGCAGGAGGGCTGTGTTCAGAAACCATGGGGTGAAACTAACAAAAACTGCCAGCTGAGGCCTAGAGCAAAGGCCATAAGATGTGGGGTCAGAAGTAGACCATTCAGCCCATCTAGTCTGTCCCACTACTCAATGGGATCATGGCTAATCTGATAATCCTCAACTCCACTTTCCAGTCTTTTCCCATAACCCTTGATTCCCTTACTGGTTAGAAGTCAGTCCATCTCAGCCTTGAATATACTGAATGACCCAGCCTTGACAGACCTCTGCAGTCAAGAATCCCACAGATTCACTACCTCCTTAAAAAAAAAAATTCTTCTTCACAATTGTCTTCAATAGATGACCGCTCACTCTCAGGCTGTGCCCTCTAGTCCTAGACCAGATCCTTTGAGAAAGTGTGGTCTTTCAGGCTATGGCAAGGGAAAGAGGTCATAATTGAGAGGTTTTGGGCTTCATGACAAAGAGGTCCGAAAGATCCTTGTACTCGGTGGTGCTGAGGGTGAGAAAGATGAGAAGAGCTGTGTAGAGAAGACGGTGTTGTGGTTGGTTGGCTCACCGAGCTGGTTGTTCCGCAGACGTTTCATTACCCTGTGTGGTAACATCATCAGTGCAGCCTCCGAAGAAGCACCATTGTGTTTTCCCGCCTGTTATTTAAACTCTGGAGTCCGTTGAGCTTGATTACCTCACTTCCGGTTTTCCTTCGTAGTTGAGTATATATGGGGTTGAGTTCTATGTGTTTTTTGATGGCTTTCTTCATGGAGTACCAGGCTTCTAGGAATTCCCGTACCTGTCTCTGCTTAGCTTGTCCCGGGATCTTGGTGTTGTCCCAGTCGAATTGGAGGTTCTCCTTATCCATGTGGATAGAGATGAGTGAGTATTGGTCATGTCTTTTTGTAGCCAGTTGGTGTTTGTGTACCCCTGTTGTTAGTTTCCTTCCGGTTTGTCCAATGTAGTGTTTCTCACAGTCTCTGCAGGGAATCTTATAGATGACATTGGTCCTATCCATAGTGGGGAGTGGGTCTTTGGTTCAGGTAAGCAGTTGTCGCAGGGTTGATGTGGGTTTGTGTGCCACTCTGATGCCCAGCGGTCGTAGGTTAGTTCTGATGTGTTCCTGATGTAAGGTAGTGTGATGAGTGTGTCGGGGCATGTAGCATCTTTCTGATGTTGTTCGTGTAGGCATCTTCTGACCCAGTTTTTTGGATATCCATTATCTTTGAAAACCTGGAAGAGGTATTCTTCTTCCTCTCAGTGTAGTTCTGTGTTGCTGCAGTGTGTTGTAGCCTGTTTAAATAGTGTTCACACGCATCTTTGTTTGTGTGTGTTAGGATAGTTACTGTTGAAGTTCAGTACCTGGTCTGTGTGTATGGCTTTTCTGTGTACTTTCGTTAGAGAGAAGATGGTATCATTAGAGAAAAGAAGCTATGTTTTAGAAGCTTTGTTTCTGCTTTGCCTGTGTCAGCGTCCATATTTCACCAATTATTGTGCATTCCGAGTGCAGCTGGTAATGTGAGAATGACGAGATAATCTACCTTTTGTGGTGCTGATTGAGGGTTGGACATGGATCAGGATGCTGGCATAATTCCACTGCTCTTTGTCAAAAGTGCCATTGGATCATTTATATCCACCGGAACTGGCAGATGTGGCCTTGGTTTAACGGAAAATGGTACCTCCAACAGTGCAGTGCTCCCTCAGTACTGCATTGGAGAGCCGGCCTTTATTTATATGAATTTGAGCCCAGGTGTGAGTCTTATATCTCCCACGACCTTGTGGCTCAGGGGCGAGAGTGTTACCATCTGAGCCACAACTGAAGATATAGTCACCAATGGTGTGGCAATCAAAACTGGAGATGGTTTAGCTGAGGACAGAGTTGGGTATACATGGAAGGGTTAGGGGGACTGAAAGAAAATACACAGACATGTGAGGGCAAGGCTATAGGAGCTTTTGAAAACAAATGTATGATTTGTATAGATTGTAGGGATCAATGACTGTGAGCCAACAAAAGTCAATGGGAGTATGGCGATGGGTGAACAGGACTTGATGTGAAGAAGGACACTGGAGACCAATCATAGGAACATGGGAACAGCTAAGTGTAGAGCTAACAAATGCATGGCAGCAGGAGAGCTGAGACAGGGACTGGGTCAGTTACAGAGATAGGAAAACACAATCTTAGCAATGGAGCAGCTTTGAGACTTGAAGGTTATCTTGGGATTCAATATAACACTGAGAATATGATCACACTGGTTCAGCGTGAGGTCAGTTACCACAAAGGGAGGATGGAACTGATAGCTGGGGAATGGAGTTTGTAGCAGGTATGGAAAGCAATGAGTTCCGTTTTCACTGTTAGCCCTGGAGATCCTCAGAGACCAATCTTGGCTCCCTTATCAAGGTACACGCAACTTGACCTCAACCCTTACTAGTCGCAGCTCACCATTTGCCACAATGCTTGTCCATCACATGGCACGGTGCAGGATGATCGTCCAGTCCAGCTCTGGGAAAACCGATGCCACTGTTTACAAGAATCAGTCCCAAAACCCCCTTCCCACACCACTGTCTCCATTCCCACCCTCGACACTGTCTGAAGTTGAAGTGTACATTCCTTCAGCTTGCCATCCTATTTGAACCATCAGAGCAAGTGTCCATGCCATCCTCAAGACTGTGCATCTCTATAAACCTCAGTCACATCAGCCCCGACATCAGCTGACCAACTGCTGAAGCCCTCGTCACCGTCTTCCTTCTCTCGGACACTTGCGTCTCCAACGCTTGACCAGCTGTTACTGTAAAGTGTATTCAGAGGGTTTTTCTGCATGTGAAGTTCTGCACGAGGACACAGAGGGATTCAAACCGAAGGAAGCCAAGAACTAAAATGCCAAGCTGGACTAGACACAGAGGTGAAGTTTAGGTTGGCACAATTGACTGGTGATGGGGGAACGGCAGAGTCAGAATGGATAGATTTGGACAGATTTGCTAAATAGAACCACAGAGAATAGGAGTGGGAGTAGGCCATTCAGCTCTTAGCCTGTTACAACATTCAATATAATCATGGCTGATCATCCAACTCAGTAACAAAAACAGAAATTGCTGGAAAAGCTCAGCAGGTCTGGCAGCATCTGTGGACAGAAGTCAGAGTTAACATTTTGGGTCCAGTGACCCTTCCTCAGACCTTTCTTCAGAATCCAACTCAGCCCCGTGTTCCCGCTTTCTCTTCATACTCTTTAGCCCTAAAAACTACACCAAACTCCTTCTGGAAAACATTCAACATTTTGGCCTCAACCTGTGGCATTTCTGTCCCTGGCTGACCCTGAGTTTGTCCTGAAATTCCCAGATTTGGAAAAGACTGAGCCCAGTGTGAAGAGAATTCCATATTAAAGCAAAGTAAAGATGATAACAGTTAGGTTTCAGGCAGCAATCAGTGATGTGTTTGGGAGCTTGTACCCCAGATTCATGGAGCAACATGTGAGTCATGTGATCTAAGATGGTATTTAACCTGGCTTCGAGCCAGAAGGAGGAGGGGAAGAAACTGACAGTGTTTTCGGTGGGGAGGAAAGAAAATATCCTGACAGGAGTAACAGATTTCAGCTCTGTCATCTCTCCTATTATTGAAGCAGCAGCAGTCAGTTTAACTCACGCCTTTGCCATCTTTGGGTTGAAAGCTTACTGGAACTGTATCTGCAGGGGGAAATATCCTTCTCTCCAGTGCTGTGCAATGTCTTTCTTCGTCAAGGTAAAATCATTCTGTCTGTGAGTCGGTTACGCTTGAGCAGGAGGGAATCGGTTTCCTCCTCCTTCTCCCAGGCAGGGAAACTGAAGCTGTTTCATTCAACTCTCGCTGTAACTTGGCGACTGATTGCTCATCGATTCTGCGCGGCTCTTTCCTCCCCTCCCTGCCGGCTTCTCGCTCTGCCTGTCAGATACAGCTGCTGTGAGAGAGCAGAAAGGGCCATTTGCTTGCAATGCAGGGAGGCCCCAGATGTCGGTCTATTTTGCTGGGGCTGAATTCTTTCAAAAGGAATTGTTTTGTGTCTGTGCCACGGGGGAGGGGGAGACATGAAAGCTGCGTTGTGCTTGTACCTCGAGAGTTTGACTGTCTGCATCTGGCTGCTGTTAACTTTCATACAGACTCAAAAAAACCAGCGAAACTTGCAAGTGATTCATACAGGTCTGACTTATTTTGTACACAGTGCTTCAATATGACCAGTGTAATCATTATCAAACATTATGGATTTCCTGCAGGTTCAAACAAATGGTTTATGATTAGTCTCAGGCTTCCTTTTGAGCTAATCTGAAAGTTTTGTGCTATTTCATTCACTATGTTAATTTGTCTCCCTTTATTGTAGTCCATAATAGCATAAGATATAGGAGCAGAATTAGGCCATTCAGCCCATTGAATCTGTCCCATCATTCAATTATGGCTGGTATGTTTCTCAACCCCATTCTCCTGCCTTCTCCCTGTAATCCTTGATCCATTCACTGATCAAGAACCTATCTATCTCTGACTAAAATACATTCAATGATTGGAACTCCGCAACCCTCTATGGCAATGGGTACCATAGATTCACCACCCTCTGGCTGAAGAAATTTCTCCTCATCTCCATTCTAAATGGTCGTTCCTTCACTCTGAGGCTGTGCCCTCTGCGTCGTAGTCTTTCCTACTAGTGGAAACACCTTCTCCATGTCCAATCAATCCAGGCCTCTCAGTACTCAGTAAGTTTCAATCATCTGTCCAAACTCCATGGAATACAGATCTAGAGCCCTCAGCCGCTCCACCATAGTTGCCATGTTAATGCCTCTAGTCATATCTTCTTAAGCAGTCCCTCAACTGTGAGGTTGAGCTGCTTCCTGTCAGTTTGCTTGGTTCTGAGATGGCTGATGAGGATGCAGACTTTGTCAGAGGCGGATGAGAGGGTCAGGCGGTGTTTGAAGGATTGGCTTGATGGGTTGTTTCAGGCTTTGTACATTCGTTTCCTGCACACTCCCCTGAAACCCCCCTGTGCACAGTCACGCTGAAATCTATTGATGTCTTCGATGCCTTCCGGAATAAACCTCCTCCGTTACGGTGGGTCACAAATCAGGATCTCCCATGAGTCAATGGGAGGTGTTGACTTCTTTAGTCGATGCTCTGGGGACATCCCTAAAACGTTTCCGCTGTCCTCCTGAGAGTGAGGATCTTCCTGAGCAAGATTCAGGGTCAGGTGTTTGTCTTGGGCGGCTGTTGTCAGACAAATGGTTGACATGTCTTACTGAATGGAGTTGATTTCTGAGCAATGAGTGCCACAATGCTGGGCGAGTTGGCCCTTACAAGATTGTTTTCTGTTGGCTGCATTTGGAATTTATTGCAAAGGCACTGCTAAGGCTAGTTGTTTGAGATGCCTGCTGTAGATGTACAAACATCTGAAACGTAAAGGAGAGAGGGGATCACTGCTGCCCAGTAAACCTCACGCTCGGGTTTGAGATTCTGATCCTCAAATACTCTTATCCTCATTTAGCCAAAAGCTGCGCTGGCACACTGGGTGCGATGATGAGTTTTCTCATCTGTGTCTGTCTCCATCAAGAGGAGGCTCCCAAGAAATGGAAAATGATCCACTTTATTCTGGATCTCACTGCAGCCCTTAACCGATGAGTGTTTTGCTGTGGGAACTTTTGCAACAATTGGCACGGTGGCTCAGTGGTTAGCACTGCTGCTGCACAGCGCCAGGGACCCAGGTTCAATTCCACCCTCTGGCAACTGTCTGTGTGGAGTTTGCACATTCTCCCTGTGTCTGTGTGGGTTTGCTCCAGTTTCCTCCCACAGTCCAAAGATGTGCAGGGTAGGTGGATTGGCCATGCTAAATTGCCCGTAGTGTTCAGGCAGGTGTAGATTATGTGGGTTATAGAGGGATGGATCTGGGTGGGATGCTCCAAGAGTCAGTGTGGCCTTGTTGGGCCGAAGGGCCTGTTTCCACACTGTAGGGATTCTATGACGAACAAGGATCTTAGTTTTCCAGATATTTACTAAAAGGAGCATTTGCTTCAAAGAATATTAAACTCGGAGGCAAAGAGGTGTGTATTGTGTTACGTTGGAGTTATTAGCAGGACTGACCTGACTTGCGTTTCAGGAATCTGTTACTAACCTGAGCTTGTTTGAGTGGGCACCAGGCGAGGGAACAAAGAGGAGGAAAAGAGAGATTGGAGTGGGAGGGGGTGGGGTGAGGTTTCAGTATGAAGCCATTGATGGGAGAGGATTGAAGAATTTGAAGGAAGGGTGTTTCTGGAGGGGTCAGTCTACTGAGATGGGGGTGATCATGTCACATGGCAGCTGGAAGGCAAGCACATCACCAGGAATCCGGGTTCGATTCCATCCTTGGGCAACTGTCTGTGTGGAGTTTGCACATTGCCCACACTCTGCTGCGTGTGTTTCCTCTGGGTGCTCCAGTTTCCTCCCACAGTCCAAAGATGTGCAGGCTAGGTGGATTGGCCATGCTAAATTGCCCGTAATTTCCAGGGATATTTAGGTTAGGCGGGTTAGACATGGTCTGGGTGGGATTCTCTTCAGAGGGGCAGTGTGGGCTTGTTGGGCCAAATGTCCTGTTTCCACTCTGTAGGGATTCTATGATTCACATCTGTTCCTCTTGGCCCAGAAGCAGTGCTGGAAAAGCACTTCCCTGCTCACTGCAACAGTACTTGACACTCTTTAGCTTACAAGTTTTACCAGTAAGATAGTGTTAAAGCTCAAATATTGGAACACAGCCTCATTAAAATATTCAAACGCAGGATCCTCCTCCTGAATGCTGCTTGATTGACTGTCTCTGTTAAAACCAAATGGGATTTGAAATTCAGTGGATTCAGATTGGAGATCTCCTATCCATTCTGCTCATAAGAAATAGGATCAGGAGTAGGCCCTTCTGTCCCTTTGAGGCTGCTTCACCATTCAATGTGAACACAGCTGATCTGACACTCCTCATGTTCATTTTCCTGCCTTTTCTGCATAATCTTTGATTCCCCAGCTGACCAAGAACCTATCTCAGCCTTAAATCCACACACAAGGACTCTGCCCCCACAGCTGTCTGTAGCGAGGTGTTACAAAGACTCACAAACCTCTGAGAGAAGAAATTCCTCCTCATCTCAGTCTTAAGTTGGTGCCCCTTTATTCTGAGATGATGCCTGTGGTCCTAGACTTTACTATGAAGAGAACTATCCTCTCAGCATTTACGCTGTCAAGCCCCTTAAGGATCTGATACATTTCAATGAGATCACCACTCATTCTTCTAAATTCCAACAAATAGAATCCCAGCCTGTTTAATCTTTGCTCATAAGACAATCCCTTCATATCAGGGATCATCCTAATGAAATTTCTCAGAAGTGCCTACAATGAAATAATATCTTTCCTTAAATAAGGGGACCAAAACTGCTCACAGTTCTCCAGATGTGGTCTCACCAGCACCTTGTACAGTTACAGTAAGACTTCCCTACTCTTATACTCTAAATCCCTTTGGAAAGGGCTAACATCCATTAGCCTTCCTGTGAACCTGTGTGCTACCTTTCTGTGTATTATGCACAAGTACCCTCAAGTCCCTTTATGTTGCAGCTTTCTGCAGTTTATAAATAATACTCTAGACTTGCCCCATCCAAATTAAACAATTTCACTCTTTGCGTGTTATGCTCCATTTGCCAACTTATTGCTCACTTACTAGGGCGAGGGACTTAAGTTAAATCCAGAACATCTCCTGTTAATCACAATTTGCTGATTTATGTAGTATTGCCTATTTAAAGAATTAAAAAGTAACTTAAAATGTACAAGAATGCATGTATTAAAAGCTGAAACCTGTAAAAATGATTATGGATCATCATTAAAAACCCCAATGATTTACCAATGTTCTCCAATGAAGGCAATACACAGTTTTCTCACTTTGACTGACCTTCATGTGAGTCAAGTCTGACAAAGTGCTTAATTCTTAACTACTCTCTGAAGTGATAGAGTAAGCCACTCAGTTGTATTCAAGAAAGCAATGATCCTGCGGCAACTTTTCAGTGCAGTTAGAGAATGACAGTAAATGTTAGCCTTACCAGTGATGTCCGAATCCCCAGAATGCTTTTTTTATGAAGACAAGTACATAACAAGTCTCTAAAAGATGCAGAGGCGGTGGAAACTGGTACAGTTACAACATTTGAAAGGCATCTGGATGGGTACGTGACTAGGAATGGTTTAGAGGGATATGGGCCAAATGCTGGCAAATGGCGCTAGATTAATTCAGGATATCTGGTCAGTATGGTCAAGTCGGACTGAAGGGTCTGTTTCGATGCTGTAATAAATATTGAAAGCAGTGTGCCAACTCGTTTCAGTATGTGTTCCATGACTGGAGGTGAGTTGCTCCAAATGAACAAGTGTTGGTTTGCTGCCCTGTTTACATTGTCAAGGAATTCACTGCTGAACAAGTATCCAAACTGTTGATTTGATTTATTATTGTCACATGTACCTAGGTACAGTGAGAAGTTTTGTTTTGCATGCGGTATAAGCAGATCATAACATGCAAAGTGCATTGGGGTAATAGACCAGAGCAAGGAATACAATGTTATGGCTGCAGAGAAGGTACACAGAGAGTGAGATCAACATTGGACCTCTCAAATTTAAAATTTGAATCAGAAGTCTGATAACAGCAAGGAAGAAGCTGTTCTTGAATACTTTGGTACATATGTTTAAGCCTTTGTATTTTCTGCATGATGGAAGAGGGTAGGACAGAAGTGGGC